TTTGTGGAGGAATAACTCATCACTTTGTTTTACATGTACCTATGTAAGCCACTGATATTCATTTTTGAACTCTTATGAAACAAAGATTTAACTTAGAAATCCATATTACGTAATATTTTCACCTAAATTATCCAAGTAATTGAGGAAAAGGAATAATTTACACTAATTATCCAAATGCCCACACATGAACATTAATTTTTTGGTTTCTTTAATCCTATATTCACATAATCATTTCCAAGATTAATAACCTAAGTTTTCATGAAACTTTCATCTAATCACAAGCGTAACAAAGAACTTAATTTCATTCTCTATCCATTTTAAAAGTCAGACAGGACCCTCATGAAAAAGCAGAATAATTTTAAGACTTGTAAGTCACCAAATTTTGCTCTGAAAGTGTTTTTTGTTTCACAAAATCATACTGAATAAGTTAAAGTTAAAAATTCAACACTTACTTCTGAACTTTTTCTGACTTCATACAGTGAATTACGGCTGTAAGTGTCATTGTCTCCTAAGAGGGGAATATTAGTGTTATCATTTTTTTCCTTATAAATCATGTGCACAAATCCAGATAAAGCCTCCATGGGTTCGATTCCATATGAGATGTTTTTAAACTGCAATGTCCCCCTGAATATTAAGATAATTAAAACAAATCTTAAATGATTTTACAAAAACTATAATCTAATATTCTAATGAGAAATTTTGGCCAGAATTTTTTTTCCACATTTAAAGTTACCTTAGTTTTTCTACTTTATCTCTTTATTCTTTGTGGTATTAACACAGAACTGGACCAGTAATACCATAGGATATGTACTGCTTTATATTACAAATATTCTAAGGAAAATATTTTGGTTATCTTCAAGAAAGCATGTTAGCAGAATGGATTCACATGCTTAAACAGGTTATAATCCCTGCCTAGGGTACACATTTTCTAAGCAAGACTGTAGGATGTATAGGCACTCTCTTACTTAGTATTAGGTCCCATTCTTCTTTATAAGACACCTAACTCTCTCCTGACACTTAATGTTCTAAATCATTTGTTTGTGTGTGCTGAACTGAAGGTATGACCTGCCTAAAAATGACTGTGAGCAGACCCCAAGTGTCTATCAGATTCAGGCATTCTACAATTGTCAATCATTCTAAGAAATTAAGAAACAAGTAAAACATAAAGAATTTAGGAAAACTACAGAAGTATGGAGAGACCAATCAATCCCCTCTACACGCAAGATTGCTCAAAGCCTCAAGCAGGAGATCCTGTCAGAATCAACAAGTAGCCTCCCATCAGAAACAGATGCTGCCAGGGTGACCAAGACTATTTCATCAGCAATTCGGGTTTACTCCTTAGGGAATTGAAGCAACAAAGTGACTGTAGAACTACAAAAGATACATGGAGGATCAACTTATAGAGTAGCAGGATCTAATACTGGCAAATGTGATATCTTTAAATAGGCTACAACCTGAGTCCTGAACAAGTGTTGAGTGACACACGAGAATTTGGAAAACCTGCAACATATCCATGATAATTGCAATCCATCTGAAAAAAATACACAAAGGAAAAAAAATGGATAACATATTTTAAAAATAGACATCCCACGTGTGTCATTTATATTTATCACTTTAGCTACCTTAGTACTTTAACATGAATGGCAATTACCCAATAAATTTGTGTCCGGTAAAAATAAGAACTAGTCCAGGTTATTCAATTTCAGTGAATATGCAAAATAATATTCTAGTAATTTCAGAATATTCATATTTTTAAATAAAATCCAGAATAATAAATCTGTAAGAAAAAACCAAGGTCTTACCTGAACTAACAAAGGCTTAGAACGTTGGCTATCATCTTTGTCATAAGAATAAACAACAGAAGCTGAAGATAAAAATGATCTAGGCAGAAATCACAAAAACATGCTCAAGTGGTAAAACAGAAAACACAGAAAAAATTATTCTTCATAATACAAATTTTCTTTTTAGTGAGGAATTTAAAGTAGTGGCAATTATCTTAGCATATCCTATTGTCCAAATACTTCTGTCATTTATAATAAATTAGGTGCTGAAGGAGGTATTTTAACCACAGTGACATACAATATTAAAATGCATGCTAATGAACAGCCCAAATTGCTAGAAAGATTGAAGAGTGAAATAACACAGGTCCCAATTTCCAGCA